ATATACAGGTGATCCGAGAGCGTCTCAACCTCTTCCAGGACACACCAGTTCCTTACTCGTGCGGCGAGGGCAGGGGTAGCGAACGAGAGGTCCACTATCGACCCCCCCTGCTGTCGCACGCACGTATTGGTGGAGCCTCTGTTTAGAAGACAGAGGCCCACCGAGGCCGCCCACTCCTCTACGGCCTCGCCCCTTGCGTCCGTCCTGGGGGAACCCCACGCAATGGACTTTGCGTTGAAGTCCCCCAGCACAAGGACGTGCCCAGACGCTAGTCGCCGTATCGAGGTCTCCAAGCTGGTTAGGAAAACCTCGAAGTCGTTCAAACTCCGGTTGGGGGAGAAATAAACACCATATATGGTGATCCCCCCCCACTCGACGGCAACATATCCAGTGCCCTTGTCTCTTAGCGACAAGGGCGGGGAATGAGCCGTCGTGGAACCGACGACTGCCACGGAGCCGTCCCAGTCACCCATCCAGTTTGGACGGGGAGGGACAGAATAGGGCTCCGCGACTACGGCAACACCTATCGACCACTGTGCCATGGTTTGCAGGAAGAGATCCTGCGCCGCGGCACAGTGGTTCAGGTTCGTCTGGACCAGGAGGCTGGAGACCCGATCCATTACTGGATCGTCTCTACAGCCTCCTCCATGGGCGACGACGTCGACGCACGAACTACATCGGAGGCAGCCTGGGTCGACTGGCTAGCCCCCGATGCTTGCTGAGAGTTGCGGGGAGGCTTGCAGCCCCCCTGCCCCATCTGATGATTGGCGGGCTTGTTACCCGCCGCACACACCGGGCAGTGAGGGGCGGCAGAGCATTCCACCGCCACATGCCCCGGTCGACCACAGCGGAAACATAGTCCGCTGCAGTCGAAGCAGCTTTGGCACTTGACGCGCGTGTGCCCCGATGCTAGGCATTTGTAACACCTCATCGGTCTCGCCGCCAGGACTGTGATCCTAGCGCTCACGAAACCGATGAGCAGCCTGCCGGCGTCGGCCAATACTTTGGCCGACGCTACGGGACAGCTGACCCACACGGCGCCAAGCCCCCCTGGACCGGGGCGGATGGTGCCGACCCTGACGTTGTCCGCGCTGCACCCCGTCTTCTCCCGGATTACAGCGCGGACATCTTCGGCCGTCACAGAGTCGTCCAGGCCCGAGATGCGCAGCTCCGCGCACTTGGTAGGCCTGGCGATCTTGACACCATCTGTGGCCGCGAATAAACCCCGCAGCCTCTCAGCGAAAGTGTCCGCCGTCTTGGCGCCTTCAGCCCCTGGGAACTCGAGAACTCGAGCTCCCGTTTGGGCGAGGCGCATCCTGACCCCCACCGTCCCGAAGTCGTTGGCGAGGCTGTCCCGGGCCTTTTTAAAAACGGCCGCGTAGGACAGCCCGCCGTCAGCCGCCTCCGGGGATACGGTCACCACTACAGCCGCGGTTTTGGGCGGCTGCAGCTTCCGCGGCCTCTTTGCAGAGGCCGTTGCCACCGGTGGCGAAGGCTGGGCTTGGGCTGCTTTTTGGGCAGCCCTTCTGGCCCGCCTTCGGGACTTCTTGGAGCCCCTCGCCTCCTGCCAGCCCTCGTTGGAGGGGGCAGGTGCGGAGGGGCCCGGCAGGGGTGTCGGAGTGGGGAGCGGAGGGAATGCCACTCCGCTCCTCGGCGCCGTTTTAGGCCCCGTCTTGGCCGGCACTTTGGCCTGCGCCTTGGCCGGCGCCTGGGACGGTGCCTTGGCCGGCGCCTGGGCCGGTGCCTTGGCCCCCCTCCTCGGCTTTTGGGGAGCCGATGGAGTCGGGGCAGACGCCGCCGCCGCGTAGGAGACGCGGCCTCCCACTACGGGGAGCGCGGTCGGAGCGGCGGCCTTAGGCCGCTGTGTCGACGCGAGCGGGGGGCGCACAACCGGCGCAGGGGGCAGTCTCGCCTCCAGGCCAGCCAGGCGTCCGTCCAGCATATTCCCAACTGCGATGAGGATTTCTCGCAGTTGGGAGTCAAATGCCCCTGAGTTGGTAGTAGGGGCAGGCTGGGACGCGGACGGGGCTTCCCGCTCGGGGAGGTTCGCCTGGAAGCGGGCGAACTGAGCGCTCAGCTCGTTCACCCGCTCCGTCAGCCTCTCGTTGGCCACCTGCAGGCGAGACACATCGCCCACTAGGCTCTCCACGACCTCCGACAAAGCGGAGGAGGAGTCCTTAAGGGCCCTCACAAACGAGCCCTTAAGGTTCACGGACTTGGTGGCCACCTTGTGGATGACGGCCACCGCCGCTTTCGCCCTCTCCTGCACGGACACGGAAGCCTGGGGGGCATTTCCCCCCACCGGCTCCCGAACCTTGAGCAGGAGATCCGCGATCTCCTCCTCCGCTACGGCCTCGCCGTCCACTCGTACATTCCTGTACGACTCCGCGTTTGAGAACGCGGAGCCTGACGGGGTCGAGACCGGGGCCGAGGCAGGTTTGCGTGCCCTCCCTCGGCGGCTGCTTGCCACCTTCGGTGGCATCATCTCCTGGGACGTGTCGGTTTCCTCGTCCCTGGAGCGTCCTCGTTTCCGGCTGTCGCTTCGCTCCGCCTCCATGGCGTCAGCGCCATCCGACGAAACGGCGGATCCGGAGCGCAGCCGATCTGATGCTCTTCGGCTCCCAGAGACCAGCGTCAGACTGACTTCTGGGAGCCCCATAGAGATAGGCGTCCCCGACGCCACCTCACCCTCAGTGGACGACCCATCCGCTCCACTGTTCTGCTTCTCCTTCCTTCCCTTCGTTTTCTTCGTTTCCGTTAGACTTGCCTTCTGTTGTTGGTTATTTCCGATCGTTTTTTGTGTTTTAAGGTTTTGAATTTTTTCCATATTTAATCCCACGAGTGGGGGGAGAACTAAAGGTCCACCCGGGCAGAGATCCCCCATTACCCGGGCAAGCGTAAGTTTTTAACCCAACCGAGGGGTCCGCAGGTACCTCGGCTTGGAGTGCGCTCGCGACTGAACTTCCCATCAGCCATGCATCCCCTGGCCACGCACCAGAACACGGGATTCGGGGAATTTTTTAGAGAGGTTATCTTCCTCGCGGTCCGGGCGGTTAAGCCAAGACCCTCGCCCCCGATCAGAGCCGCGAGACTTAACCACAGCGCTCTTCTCGGGATTACGATATGCCGACGGTTGACAGGGAGACTACGTCCCCCTGCCTGCTCGGTGGTAGTGTGAGTACACGCCGAGCCCGTCCTCCTTTCTCCACCGCTGTCAGCGGAGAAACTGTGGCCCCTACAGGGCCCCGCCATCAGGTTTTTTACCGAGGTTTCCTCCTCCATGCTCCGAAGAGCGAAGAGCCAGCAGGGCAACCGGCAGACACGCCCACCCTGCTGGACCAGGCCTTGCCCGAGAGCCGATGAACGGCTGCCTCTTCTGCTAGAATATTGGCCGCTGGCGATAATCCTCTCCTCCAAGAGGACAAGGAGGAAACAGTACCATCGCCAGCGTTTCCAGGGTGCACCACGGGGAGGTTTTCTAGCCAGCACCCCAAACCCTATACCAACCCGTCTGGCCAGCGTGGTATAGTAGGCCAAAACCTCCTTTCTAAGGAGAGGCCTATGTCCAGCAGTGGACTAGTATAGGTTGTTGATGATGATTCGTTGTAACAAAACATCTTATCCTTTGTAGGGTAGTGACATGTATAGTTGTCCCATGCCAGCGTTGCTAATTGCAGGGATAAATTCTATAACACCTATTATTATACTACCTACTACTACCTATTTTTGCCGCGTTATGTATAAATTTAAAACTAATAATTCACTACGTCTGCAATAACTATTTATCAGTGTTGAGATACTGACTCTTGTGTCGTGGTGTATAAATAAATATTAATGAGAGTAGGTATTTAACCACGTTAATTGGCAGTTACCTTTAAATAATAATTAGATGAAATAAACTAAAATAGATTTGTGTACGAAACGGAATAAAAAAATACCTTTTATATAAGTTATTCTTTGACACCCTAAAAAAATTTTTGTTAGGAAATTAAAGAATAGCTAATAACTTCGTAGATACTGTACTTTTTTATGACAGGATTATACATACATTATTACATGTTCTAAATTTAGCCACAAGTATAAGTAGGTATATTAGAGTCAAATCTATTTACCGAAGCATCTTAACTGAGGAGCCAGTTAAAATGTGCCATATCTCACAATTGACTCATGTTTAATTACTGCCTCTTCACACTACAAATTTAATATACTTACTACTAAATGATGAAAAAATTGCGCATCAATTGAAAGACTGCTTCTTTGAAAAATGATAGTCATTTGGTCTGAAGAGCCATATATATAATGTATGGTAACTTTTTTTAATTTTAACGTTAACAAGCTCAGATTTTGTCTACTAACTGCTCTCAAATACTACAAAATCATACTAAATTATGATAAATATACATTCATTATGTTCTTATTGCTTTATGTTCATATAACTTTAAAAGTATTATACTACAAAATCGAGGATCGAGGCTACATTTTTTTTTATTTTACTACTAAATTATAATATTAATTTCATTAAGATATGAAGTGAAGAGTGGTTAGCTTTAAATAGATTTGCTTTATTTTTTGGAAAATCCCTAGGTCCTAGAATTCTGCTGTAAATTTTTAACAAACATTTTGTATGGTAAAATTTGAGACCCATACAATTGAAAGTAGGTGGCGCTGCCACCAGCTTACAAAATATTTAGTGGTATCAGTGTTTGTATTTTTTAACATTTTGTGTTTTAATTTTTTTATGTATTCGCAGTCGAAAACGACATCAAAAAGGAAAATGCTACCTTCGGACAAGACAACTGCATATGTGGAGGATACTACCTATTATTATTTTTACCTTGCTAAATCCATTCTAAAGTTGCATATTAAATATTGCTTTTAGTTGTAGGGCTAACCTTTCTACATATTATTTATTTTAATACCCAATTCTTAGATTACAATAAAAGAACAAAAAATTTACAATCATTTACTTTCACTACTTATGCACTAATTAAAGCAATAATTTAATGGTATTTTCCGTACCAACGATGGTCAAACGGCGACAACATCTTGTGACAACCGCCCATATTATTTTGTATTATATATTTCATCGTATAATAGTTTTGATTATTTTCTTCCGCCCATTTCTCATCTCTTGCTTTCTTTTCTAATGTTTCTTGCGAAATTGCCTCAGCTTTGAACGGTAATCTCTCGGCGACAATTTTCAACATTGGTAAAACCTGTAAATTAAAACAAAGCTTTGGGATAAGGTAACCAAAAACGACTGTTTTAAACTAAGATTTAGGAGACAAACGTGAGTCAGATTAATCGGACTTCTGACTTCAATTTTATTTCTTGTTAAAATTTTATTTGTCTTACTTCATTGATTTTGTACGACGTCATAGACTAGATGCTACTTAATGGTAACTGTATACGGCAAAATTCAAATCGATAGTTGTTTAATTTGAACAACTTCTGCTGTCTAGATTCGCCCCTCTCAGATTAGGAAATTGTTTTAGTGTTCACAGTGGGAGAATAACTTAATATATAGGAAATACTTAAAACGAATCTAATTGTAACAAAAAAACAAATTCTAAGATCTAAAATTGTATGAGTATATCTGTATGTGTGTTGTGTGTGCATGCGTATTGATGCGAGTGCGTGTGTTTGTGTGAGTGTGGTATGTATGTGTGTGAGTGTGGTATGTGTGTGTGAGTGTGGTATGTATGTGTGTGTGTGGTGTGTATGTGTGTGTGTGTGGTGTGTATGTGTGTGAGTGTGGTGTGTATGTGTGTGTGTGGTGTGTATGTGTGTGTGTGTGTGGTGTGTATGTGTGTGTGTGGTGTGTATGTGTGTGGTGTGTATGTGTGTGAGTGTGGTGTGTGTGTGTGTGTGTGTGTGTGTGAGTATGGTGTGTGTGAGTATGGTGTGTGTGTGTGTGTGTGTGAGTGTGGTGTGTATGTGTGAGTGTGGTGGGAGTGTGGTGTGTGTGTTGTGTATATCAACTTAATATAGTGAGAAGTTGTTATTACGAGCAACACTTAAATTACAAACTATGTCATAATAATATATATTTCACTATAAGTTATTCAACATACCTCCTCATAATCACACTTGCCACCAACTTCCAAAATTATCCGACCAGCTTTAATGGGAGTAACATAATGATCAATAGCTCCTTTACCACCGCCCATACGTTGACCTTGACCCTTTTTTGTAACAGGTTGCCAAGGTGGGTCTACCCTCCAAATTGCAAACATTCTCTTCTGGTCCAAATGCCGTGCAACAACAAGACGTGCCATCTCAAAATGCTGATGAGCCATCCTACCTCCTCCTGTAGCCTGCAAAAATTTGACAAAAGTAATACTTGAGTTTGCTCATTGTTGTTTTAAGTACAATTCAAATAATAGTCTGTCAAATCAGAGCAAAGGTCAAGTCATATGATGCCTTGCCTTAGCCTATGGCTCTTCAACAATTTAAAAAACTTACACCATTCTTTTATGATAGAGGGGGCAGACCAGTAGACAGGTCAACTGACGGAAAGTGACCATCGCCACACATGAACGTCAGCTACTCGGGAGTCACAAACGCGTTGCGGGCCTTTTAGGAAGGAATATGCTCTTTCAGAAGGCATCTTATGCTGCCACTCTATATAAAAAGCAACTACTTCTTTCACAGTTGCAGGTGCGACCTTGGCTGGCTTAAGCATTGTATATCTGCTTAAACTATTGCTTACATTTCCCTATCCATACATATAAGCAATGTTTTTTTTCCGTTCAATGCTCCCAGCTTGCCTTCCTTTCAAGCTTTTAAAAAAAATTCGCAAATTGATGATACATGCATTGGGAACTGACTCTGAGCACTAAGACAGCTTCCAAGAAAAGACTGTATACTGACACTTGTAGTTGGGTGCCTGAATATCACCTATTACAGATGGGCATCAAATAATTAATTCAAATCATCAATTGATCAAAAAATCAATATTAGTTATATTGTGATTAGTATATAATGTATCAATTGTAAATACATTTTAGAAATTAAAATATATTAATTGAATTTTGAAATTAAAGTTTCTGGGTAAGCTTTTATTCATTGCAAAATTAAATTACTTACAATTAACTTTTAACCTGTAAAATTGTTTTATTGTGTGCTGTTATCACAGTTGAGGCTTAGTCATACCCCACTATGATGAAGATAATATACACCCCACAACAAAAAAAAATATTTTATTTGATTATCTTTCCTATTTCCAAATTAATAACCAATTGTCAATTTTGATAGAAGCATACATGTTTTTTTTTAATACATAGTAGTTACAATTTATAATTAAATAATTGGTAATTATATTAATCACAATTAACAATTACTTCATTGTCAGTACAGCAGTTACAAATGAAATAACCAATCATGTATGTGATTTATTTTTTTAGGAAAGAGTCTATTTTCTTGAATGTTTGAAGGTTGTGTCGGTAAAGAAATATAGCAGACGATAACCAGTTCCACAGATTGGTTGTGCAGGGCAAAAAGTGTCTCGAAGAGCACACAGTAGTGGAGCGCCAACTATCCAGGTAATGAGAGTAATGAATGAAAATTTTGCCTTGTGGAACGATGGCGGAAATTTAAGAACTATTTATTAATTTTGTTATGACCATACTGAAGAATAATTTAAACTACAATTTTTATAAACTACATTCAATTTGAGATTAACTATTTTGGTTTAGCTAATTCTGACCACTCTATCATAAAAAAAAACATATTCTGTTTTACATTAGTTCATAAGTTAAAAACCTAAATAACTAAAATTTACAACTGTTATCGACATAAGTTCAAAATTTTAACCAACATATGCTTCATATAATGGGAAATCTTGTATCATCACAACCAAATATATATTATGTAGTTAATAAGTGAAATATGGTAGTTTTATTAAATATTTATATATAATATTTATATATGTATATATTTTTTTTCATACTTCGTCTGAAGTAGATTACAACCTTAAACAAGTCAAACAATATATGAGTACAAATGTCATTCATACTTACAATAACACCATATTGTTTCAATTGTAGAGTAGTGTGTAAAGGCTCAGGACCTCTCATGTACCGAAGACGTTTCTGCATCTTTGGTGGTTTTAAGTTTGAGGGATACATGGGCACTTTATCGTAGACACGTAGCCTTTGACGCTCGGGAATTTCAATATCTGAAATAGCAAACACGAATTAGAAAATGTTTAATAAGAATCTTGTCTGCATGTCCTGCATAATTTACTTACGGTCATAGTTCTTTGGTGGTGGAAAATATTTAATGCCAACAGCTGCGACAACTTGAGCACTTTCTGGGCGTAAGAGACCTGAAATATACGTATATTTAGCGATTATTACCTAGATTTCATGAATATCATGATAAAAAAAATCTCTCTGACCTACTGTTACTCGGATTGATTGTAACAACATCGTCAGTTCTTGTGTTTAGAAATAAATTACTAAAACATAAATTACGCATAAATTTATAGAAAAATCAGCGATTTTATTAAATATTATATTTAAACGTTTGTGAGGTTAGTTTCTTATCTTTTCTTTTGACAACAACTAGAGAGTACTAATTACGCACATTTATCATATTAGGTATTTGGAATAGGTATTCAGAGTATCACCAAAAGACCAGTCCTATTTTAGCATAGAGCAACACAGGCCACCGGCGGACCGGATGGGAGTAGCCATAGCGTCTTTTCGCGATACAAAATAGCCTGTCATTTTTTTGCGGGGAGGAATCTTCACCACGCACACATTCTCGATATAGCCCTTAAACTTGGATCTTTAGGAAACCTGCCATAAATAAATAAAAACAATGTGGTTGTAGTTCACACTTAGTCATTTTAATAAAATGTGTTAATGATCGTAAGTATTGTATTATATTTTTTAAGCTATTGCATAGCTTCTATCGAGGGCCTAGAGCGCGGGGACCGAATCCAGAAATTCCGTAACGAAAAAAAACCTCACGCTAAAAACAAAACAAAAAACAGTACCAAAATCAAATGCTGAACATCAAAGGAAATTTCGTCAACATAATGCAGAAAAATCTTACATGGATATGATTGATTTATATAATAATAATATTTTTTATTTATTTATTTAAAAAGAAATTGTAATATATGCTTCAATATTTTTATTTAATAAAAGAAAAAAAAATGTTTTCTTATCGGTCACCACGCTCAAAAAGTGTAACTTGAATTAATATCAAAGAAAAAGAAATACTGCATAAATAAAATAAATAAATAATTATAATTGCATAAGTTGATACAAAATGCTATGTAATAGCTTTACCGCGGCAGTCCCCGAGTGCCACACGTGTTTTTTTTTATTTAATATTCAAGTATATATTAAAATAAAGGTCACAATCCACATAATTATATTAACTATATCAGAAAACATAATCTTAAAATTACTTACATATGAAAGGTGATTTTATATGGACTTGACGTGGCAGATTCCTTTTTGAAGCAAAAAAACTGAACAATTAGGCATTTTTGTAGGACGGCCACTGTCGTCTACTCAGCAGCGCAACTATATTTAGTCTTCTGAGCGGTAGTAGTAGTTTTAGTGTAGGCTGATAACCATGTGGACTTATACTTTGGCAGAGGGGTACGCCTGCGTATTGCTACTGCCTCCCGTGTTGTCCCGTCCCTAGATGTATTTTAGGGGCATCAGTCTCAAGTCTTAAGTAACCAGTTATAGAGAACATCATAGTTTCTATTATAGAAATTTTATTATCAAAATAAAAATTTGTACTGCAAAATTAAGGGGTTACGTTAATCTATGCAAGATTAACTTAACTTGTTAATTAATAAAGTAAAGAGAGAGTTGAAAGGAATGAAATTGAAAGTAAAAAATGTGATAGGTAAAAGTCACACGAAAATTTAAAATGTATGCTGTTTATACACCTACAATGAATATTATCGCTTATCGTAAATGTATGTCTTTTACGAAATCCATTTTTAATTTGCAGAAGATAAGTCGAATTGTTTTCGTGTACTGGTAACATTCTCAAATTTTATATTCCTAAATTGGCGATCACCTAACTGTACAAAGTTCAGTAGCTGCATGTTTATATTAATATAATCCCAGGACCACTAAAATAGACTAGTAATTTTGTTTCCAACGAGATATTATAATCGATTAACAACATAAACTGAAGATAAGGGGGTAAGCCGACCGAAGTACTTAGCAATAGGCTATCCACATTTGCTGAAGGATCGATGGCCCAAGAGCAAAAGTGGAGACCGCGAATTGGTAAACAAAGACAGGATGCCTCCCAGCCATATTGATTGATGACCTGAGATTGCCTGAGAAAGTTAATCCGGGTGGGTAGATTGGCTGTGAAAGGTGTGTTCTGTGTTTAGAAGCGCACTGCAAAGGGCTGGTTGAAAGACAAGGGCAAAGTTTTGTCTGTTAAAGAAAAACTAATTTTCTGATTGACTATTTTATTGGGCCATATCCTACAGTATTTTAGGAAATTAGTCGTTTGCAAAAACGCTAAAATTAAAAATGTATGCCAACATTGGCAACACAAAATAGATGTTTCAAGCTGTCATGGTTTTCAAACTTCCATTCAGTCAGTTTGTAAAATGTAAATAATCAGTAAATCCTTTTGATTGTCGCTATGTTGTTGTTGTTACTGTTGGTAACCGGCATAGTAGTATCTGTAATTTATTAGTTAGTACTGTGATTATGTCTCTTATAAGTCCATAAACTATATTTATTAGCAATGAAGTTGGACCGGAAATGTTGACAATAAACACTTTAGCAATAATTTAAATACAATGGAATTCAAAACAATGCTTCGTTTACAGAAATGCCTGTATTTTAATCTTTACTTGTTTGTGATTTGGTTTGTTGTTGTTGGATTCTTTTTATATGCTAGGGTAAATTAAATTGTATTGTTAATAGCATTTTTTACAAATGATAATTCCGATACAATATAGTAATCCTTTTTGTTGCAGCTAAATATTCTGGGCCATTTAACAAAATATTTATCACTGACTGTGTACACGTTGCTTATTGTGATTGAATCTCCAAGAATATACCTTGGCCATTATGGAAACCTATCATGCAGGGTTAGTAACACTAGGAACTATAATTTTCAATTATATTTATGGAATAATAAGTAAACACTAACTAACTCAACAAAGTCTGTTTCCTGGTCTAAATATACATCTATAATAATTCTAGGAAATAAATACTGACTAACTGCAAGAAATTTGTGAGAGTTTATAATCAGTCAGCCTGTAAAACCTGGTAGAAATGTCAGGCAATTTAAAGAACACTTTTGATTAATTGCTGTATAGGTATATAATAATAAAAGAAAAACTAAGTACCTATGATTTCCTTTTTGAAATGTTTTCATTCTCATCTGGAATCATTTTTAATGTTGTTAACTTAGATTTTAATTCTTTACAGGTACCGGAGTTGGCAGGTTTTTTAATGTTATCTGTTCTTATGCAGTTACCATTAGTCAGTTTCTTTTTGTTTAACCCTGTTTTGCTAAGTACTCCTATGGAACTAACTTTACATGCTATGTTATGTATTTTCACAATTACTGAAGTAATCTTAAGTTTTATGGGCCTTAAACAAGCATCCAATTATGCTAAGAGTATTTACTTGTCACAACTAAAAGATAGATAACTATGAGCTGAAGGGTTTATATTATTCTATAAAAGGTTTTGTATTTTATGCATTTTAGTGAGTAAATGTTAAAAAAAAGGTTTGTTTTTCAATAAAAATATAGTTGTATACATGTATGAATGACCAGATGGCATAGTGGTTTTTGTGTTGGCCTGCTATTCCAAAGGTTGTGGGTTCGATTCCCGCTTAAGTCAAGCATTTGTGGGTCTTGGTGTTTCTATGTATAATATGTATGTATTTACAAAAAAAAGTATATATGTATTTATATCAGTTGTCTAGTACCCATAGTACAAGCTCTGCTTAGTTTGGGACTAGATGGCGTTGTGTGAATGTGGTAGAATATTATTATTATTGTTTAAAAAACACCTAGCAGAGCTTTAATAATATTTGTTATATAAACCAGTAAGCAATTCTTTCATAAGAAATATTTTCTTCCTCATATTTAATTATTCAAAAGTATTTATTTTATTACTAGTTTTGTCCCAAGTCCTATGCAATAAATTGGCTATCTTACACTAAAAGATTTTTTTAATTCAAACCAGTAGTTCCTAAGGTTATCACATTCAAGTAAACATATAAACACTTCGGTTTTATATTAGTATAGATGAAGAATACCTTTGGCTCATAAGGACCACTTGCCGAAAGGTTCTCTTCTCAAAACTTTCACTTATCCAAAGGACAATGCCCAAATAGTAATGATTTCTTCATAAGCACATCTCTATCTCACACCTGAATAACTTATTCCAATCATTCTATTGTTTAGTAATAATCTTTTATTATTACTAATACGCTTAACTATTCACATACACACTAGCAGTTCCACTCATTTATTTTAGATTATAAGTTTTATTGCACATAAAAGAGTTGGCTACAAAACTGGCTTTGATAGTATATTTCGTAATTGCATTCTGAATATATGTGACTATGAATTAGAAGGTATGAATAAAATAATTAGTAGTAGTTTACATGAAAAACTTTTATTTGATGTTGTCACACAACATTTAATACTCACATTATATAAATAGAGGACCATAATAATGAAAGTGTATGAAAGCAAAGCTTTGACATTTAAAAATATACAAGTAAATAAATATGTGGGTTAACATAATTTTAACCTAAATAAAGTACAATTGTCAATACAACTAACAGTACAATTGTACAATATCAGTAGTACACAGAAGATAATTTTTACACCCATGATAAATTTTGTCATTATACCTATTATCTATCACATAAAATATAACTCATAGTACATAGCCAAGGAGTACCTCTATTTAATAGCCTATGTGGTACTTTAACTGGTCAACTGAACTAGTATCTAGTTTAATTGTATCAAATATAACCTCTTGGTAAAAGTTATGGATTGAGTCTTACAAAATAGTATAATTTTGCCCTTATTTATTTCACAAGGCACTGGACATTTGACTGTTAATTTTACTTATAATCAAATAAATTTTAAAACATAATAACATTACTGGACTATATAGAACTGCAATGCATAGATGCAATTTTACATGATATTAAAATAAATTAAATATTCTTGTCTCTAATGTTTAAGAAATAGCTTTTGGGACATATTCTAACACAGCACTATCATATATTCTTAGGCATTAAGATATATTTGGTATATACTACTATATACAATTTTGTTTCACACAGGATCACATCCTTTACAATTATTGTTTAATTAAAAAAATATAGTCACAGTATTTTCTTATGTCTTTGTTATGTGGAATTTTAAGGGATATTGTTATCCTTCAAGAAATCATCAATTTTACACCTAATTAAATGTAATTTTACATTGTAACTTTCTGAAATTTGAATATATTCAACTAGATTGTCAATTTCCAGGGATTGCAATAATTGTGGCAGGTTTGGAGACATTTTACAAAGAAACTGAAATATAAAACATAAAGTAAAATGAAAACTTGACATTTTATCTTAGAATATCCTAAACTAAATACTTACCAAATCTATAAGTTTTATACTTTGTTACTTTTATATTATCTATGCATTTAATACTTAAATATATCAGACAAATCATGCTTACAGAAAACAATTGCCGTGTGATCCAATTGTGGTACGGTTTTACAGATCCCTCATATGCTTTTGTGAAGATTTCTTTCATATTAACATCATTTGGAGGTATTTGGTCTTTCAACTTATTAATAATTTCTATGAATATTAATTCAAAAAAAAATAAAGCCCTGCAAATTAAAAAATATTATAATAATTAGTTTCATTCCATTTGTGAGATATTACATTTTTGCTTTAAGGACAACAGTTTTCTTGACTGTTTTACACAGTACAATAACAGCTTCTACAGAAATAGAATGAGTGACAATCACTCCTAAATTATATATATACACATCCTATACCCATGAATGGGTAGTCACATGGATATTATATTTCTAACAAATAATATTAACACGTAGGGTGGAGGATATTGAAAGAAAAGTAGCAAGTCAGGGTTGCATATAACTTAGTTATTGCGGGCAAGCCTGAACGCTCTAAGTAATCTACTTCTGTATATAATATTAAAAGATATTACAGTCACAGACTATGAGTAATTATTATATATATTAGAAAATATTGTAGTTATAAAATGTAATACCTATTCAGCCATAGAACGCCTTCTGCTGCAGTAGTTTCGCCTTTAGCCTTTTCATCAAGCATTAACTCCAGTAAACAAGAATTTTCATCATATTTATAAGATTTTTTAATTTTCTGAAACATAAAAGTAATTGATTAAATTACCTTACATAAGTAAAATACTCAATGTAGTCACCTTATTTTTTTTAATTATAAAATTTACATCAATTTCAACTCTTGTTTGTAAATGACTTAGTGTAAGAACAATTTGCCAACAATTTAGTATAAAGTATTTATGAATATTTTAATAAATCACATTAAGTAGTTAACGATTATATAAACAAATATATATTGGAAGTAACACTTACATCTATATTTCCTTGCATATCGACGGTAACAGGCGTGAATACCGTGCCAAGACGTTCTGAACATAAAAAAACTAAAATTTATTAAGGCTTGATGAAAATTAATATACATAGGTTTAACAAGTAGTAAAACTTACCCACTATAGCTACTAAATCCAATGAAGCTTCCACAAATGCCATAATATTTAATCGCTCATCGATAACAGCAGGAAAATGTTTTACTGTGAAAAAAAAACGTTCACTGGTGCAGGGACCTGCCATTTTCAGTGCAAATACGCTTAGGTTGATAAAATATTTTGAACAGAGTCTTACTTTATAACTATCACATACATTCACAAAACTATACTTTTAAGTCACTTTTGTCCATTCAAATTGAAAACATTAAACATTTAATCTTGTGAACATATATTTTATATGTCAATTTTCCAGTTGCCCACTGTCTATCAGGGTTACCGCGTTATGAAATATGCACACACCAAAAGTCAATATTAAATTTTCCTTTTTACAGTTTCTTAATATACATTCGTCTAGCTCATATTATACCTAGATTAAAGAGACAGCTCTGTGTTATAATTTATCCATTCTTATAATACTCTTCCTTATCGTTGTTTCAAACGTATTCTTCACTTTATTGTCAACTTTCCTAATACTGTTACTGCAATTCCTAATATGAAAATGTCTGTTTTAATACGTTGCCTAAGTCATCTTCCACAACTATTGTCAAAACTTTGGTTTTAGGCGAAAATGTAAAGGGTAGTAAGAATCTTTTTTCTGGCACTAAATTAGTGAATTCATATGAATCTAATACCATTCCGTTTGATTCATCTCTGACTTCAACTATTCTGAGACCAGCAGTTGAAATAATCATCATTTTATTTTTATCAAACTTTAAATATCTGGTTATGGCTTGTCTTTCTCTGCCGAATTCATTATTGAACCACCGGTGGTAGGACAGCAACACTGCGCAATTTCTCGTCCAATATATCGAATCATTTCCATTAGTTCTATTAATGTTTCTCTTTGAATCTGAAAGTCTATTAGTAATATTTGAATAAACACTGGATGGCCTTGTTATCGGAGTTACGTTTGGGCTTCTTCTTATAATATCTGATTTGGACATCGATGCAAAATTGCCAAGCGTAGTTTTACTACGTGGTCCCAAGACTCGTAAAGGTTCAGCTACATTCATTGTAACACTTATGTTGCGTTGTAGAGAGACTGTGGAATGTTGCACTGGCTTTCCGTTATAATTGTTCATGCTATCTTTAACTAAAGCTGATCTTTTTTCTCCAACGACAAACACTCTATCAATGTTGTCAAAACCTCTTCCCATTATGCCATCCTTTGTATGTCCAAGATCAAACGTATGACCGAGTTCGTGAAACACTGATCCCAATGTAGTTGCAAAACATCCTCCTAAAGTTCCGCGATATCCACTGTCATCCATAAATCGTCTCGTGTTTACCGGTGTTGAATCTAAAAATTTTGGTAAAATATCTTCAACGTTTATTGGCCACGTGTATATACAAGCAGTGCCAAATAGGGCTAAGCCGCCACCTCCCAAAGCTGCATATGCTTCTGTCATAGATATGATTTCTTCGTGTGTCATAGGTTTATCAATATCAGTTCCCTTGAAACGAGTGCATGAAATAAAACCCAAAAACTTTCTATCGTTACTTCCCAAATCAGACAACATTAATTCTCTCCCGAAATGAGACCATAGTTCGGTTTGTTTCATTTTTCTCGCCTTATTAACATTGAGATTACTTTTAAAGATTAAGCATTCTGGTTTTTTCGAATCAATTTCATGTTCTAGCTGAAATGTTTTTCTTCCGACACCACTTTCAAAAAGTTTTTCAGCTGTTAGACTCTGAATTAATTTGGAACCAAGTGATATTCGGGAGCACGCACTTTCAATGGAATTATCAATATCTGGTGGACTTTGGAAACAACCGTCATGTCCTTGACATATAATATACACAGGAGTAACGCGAAGATTTGTTTTTCTTGGAGTGTAATCAAGTAATAATGTCATATGCTGTTGTTCTGTGTAATCCAGTTCTATTACGTTCTCTCCTCTTTGAAGTTCTATTATCAATTTGAATTCTCCGTTGTAAACAGTCCATTGTGATTTAATTTGAGTATTTCTACTTTTTAATGTACATATTAGTTTCTCTTGATTGTTAGAATTTCCTCGAGTTACTATTCCTTTTATTAATACAAGTGCATAGTTTACGATGTCACCATTTTGAAAATTTGTTATGAAAATTGATGAGTTGTTTTGAGTTTCGTTATCTTCATTTATTCGGTTGTCCATTACCTGAAAACCGATTTATAACACATTATATCAGAACATTACGTTATTCATCGCTTAACCTTCATCATGCTTCAATACGCAGTTTCCTCCATTTCTTTTAGTACCTAGATCTAACTGCACGTAATTAGGTTAATGTCATTCTGTTACAAAGTTGGGTATGTTAAATCTCGTTTTAAAACTGTGATTTTAAGAGTCGACAGGTGATGTTGTTATATCGCTTTATTTTTATCTCTGTCAAGCGTTAAAGGTCGTCGTAAATGAATAGATTCGCACTGTGTAGGAGTGACTCACCATGATGCGGTTAGCGTGGAGCGCGCAGAGCCGGCGCGGCGGGAGGACTGTGGGTGCGGGCGGCGCGGCGTGACGGCGACTCGGCGACCATTTGCAGCCAGCGTGCAGTGCCGTTCCTCCTCACTTCTCACTAAACTTGGTCGAACGTTTGTGCGGCTGGAGTGCGCATGCTCGCCGATGCAGACCGACGCGGCTCGGTAACGATTGCGCTTAGCAGACAGGTACGCGACTAGCTGTCTCCATGAGCAAGAGGGAAATTTGAACAATGCAGTAAACACGGATGAGAATGCGCCACTATCGTCTATGAAATCTTTGTTGTTTGTTTTGCGATGTGTTTGTTTACATTTAAACACTGCAAAGAAAATCGTCTGCCGTTGCCGCTCATCTTACATATAATATTGAGTTTTCTAACAAAAATTGTTTGATTGCTTTACTTCTTTTTAGAAATATTGGTTTTAAATACTTAAATATATGTACTTACCGCGAAAACTCACAACCAACGTTGAAGCTTACCTATGCGTTGCTAACCCATGTTCAAAACTCTTGACAGTAATGATTGCAAAATCTTAAACGATTATTGTACCTATGATTATCTACATAATTTGGAAATATTCTTTACGTGTGAACATTACACATAACAAACAATTTTTATGATAACAGCTAACGTGATAACCACTAGTTTTACCTAGGTGCAACTACCATGTATTTGCAATACTTATTGTTATTAAGTATTTTGGGAGTAATAACTAAGTATTTAAGGAGAGGATTTGTATGTTAGATTTCTATTCTCTAAAACAAGACTAAGTAATAAACACGTACCTAGATATTAAATGGCATGAATAACGTATTATAAATAGTTGCGTTATCAAAGTATTCAGGAGTTTTAAATAGCACAATTCTTATTTAACACTACAAGGTACCATAACGCTGTAATCGAGCTATAGTTTTGAAACACGGTATTTTGTCATACTGTAACTCGTCCAAGTGACTAGATGAATAGGTAGGTATGTTATGATAATATGTTCCTGCCATTCAGAATCATTGTTCCGTTAAGTACCTACCCACACATTGCGTATTATGAAGAATCTCAAAGTAGGTATATTATTTTGACTCGTATAACATAGTATCAGTCACAATTTTGTTAAAAATATATTTTATCTATATTTTTTTTAGTAAAATACTTATCAGGTGACAGGCATTGATATTTTTTATTTTACATTGAAATTACCACTACTTACTTAAGTAGTAGGTAAACTATTTTAGTTGGTCAATTTATATAAACTGAATAAATTTTAATAATTGTAACGATTTTTACACTCTTACAATTTTTTTCGTTTTTCGTTTTTTAAATTTTATACAATTTTGTTGTTCAATAAAAGCAGGGTTAGTATAGGTACTTGGAGCTACTGGTACCTACGGGTAATTTTACGAGCCTGAAGGATATAATCAAAAAGGTTAGAGTAAGAAGTTATTTTTGCCGGAACTCCCCCGCCCGAAAAAGTATGCAAGTGGCGCGAAGCCGCTCGTCAAGCCACGATAGCTGGTTGGTCGTCCGGGCTGGAACAAACCAGCACCTCCACGTGCTATTTTTGCCGCCGTGGAGGTGCTCCAGCCGGTCATCATCGAATGGGCAGGGCGGCAGTACGGGACCCTTTCCTTCCGGCTGACGCGGGTCCTTTCCGGGCACGGCTGCTTCGGGAAGTACACGCACTCGGTCGCTAGGAGGGAACTGAGTCCCGCCTGTCACCACTGCAATTGCAGCGAGGACTCGGCTCAGCACACGCTGGCAATTTGACTGGCTTGAGCATCGCAGCGTCCACACTGAGACCTCTCGGGGAAATCTCTCTCGCGAGTGGCGGACGTCGCTTAAAAAGAGAATGTACCTGAAGGTGGTGCCCACGCCGTTCAGGCTAGGAAGGCTAGGAAGAGTCCGGATGTCATAATAACAGCAATTCCTTTATACCTATGAAATTGCCGTTTTGTATGCGATAAGTGAAAGTACCTACTTATTTTTTCAAACTTTTTTATTTCTGTTATTCGAAGTAATCACCCATACAATCGACGCATCTTTGCCAACGCATTGGCAGTTTATTGATGCCCTTCTTGTAAAAATCAGCTGGACGGGAGGCAACAAACTCTTCAAAGGCATTTTGTACTGCCTCTCGGGAATTGAATTTTTTACCCACTAAAAAGTTGTCTAAATTTTGGCAAAAGTAATAGTCGGTAGGTGCAAGGTCTGGTGAGTACCAAGCAACCAGCTTTGGTCAATCGGTCTTCCCCACTGCTCCTTCACGACAACGTGAAAAAAAACTGAGTATTGTAGAAAGTGTAAGATTTAGAGAAACATTTCAGAATTATAGACTTCCTTTTAGTGTTTTCAACTATATCAACATTAGTGAAGTGCGTTAATTGTGATGGGAAAATGACTTTTCGCACATTTGGCAAACAGCCTCGGTATATTCCGTCTAGTAAAAGAGTGAAAGGAGAGTCAAGGCAATCGTATTATGAAGTGAATCATCGTTTTGGCTTCGACTTAGGCTTAGCTGGGCTGTAACAAATGTTGCGAAAAGATTTTTTGGTGCTGATGTAAAAGAAGAGATAGAGGCAACGTGCAAAGCGAATAACGTGCAAGAAACGAACGAATTAAGTATCAGGAGACGGAACGTGGAAAAAAACGTGGATCCACTTCGCTATTCGGTGTCTCTTCTTTGATCGGTTACTACACGGGAAAGGTTTTTGATGTGTTGGTCAAGAGTTCTTACTGCCACCAATGTAAAACTTAGCAGAATAAGCGACACTGTCGAATTCAGAAACGAAAGAAAGAAAAGCACCAAGAACACGTCAACAGCGGAAACTGTTAAGCAAATCATTTTAGTCCATCAGGCAACATGGAAGTAGGCGTTGCTGGTAGGAAGCTGGCATTGATGATTCTATGTAAGTATAAAAATTATATCCTTTTATTGATGCTTATTTTTGGTTGTTTGAGTATAAAAAACTTTAAATCGATTTTCTCGCGATTGCCATTTTTTAAGGTAAACAGTACCTATAACTCAAAATCTACTTGACCGATCCTTTTGAAATTTTCAATACACTTTCTACACATAAAACAACAGGTAGTAACGAAGATTTTTTTAATACTTTTTTTCCTATTTTTAAATAACAAATTAACCGAAGTTTTATAGCGAAAATTGCGTTTTTCACTTTCAACTGCTGCCAAAAATTATATAATAAATGCTTTAAAGAACATTTCGATTTTTTGTTTCAGATGATCCGGTAACGAGTTATTGTGTTCACCGGATATAAACTTTTTTTCAAAGCGGCCCGGTAGATTCGTTGCCTTTGACTTATTTTTTAATATTTTTAATTGAATTTTTTTGTAAGATACTTAAGATATCTAGATTTAGATAGATACTTTAGATAATAGACCAACATCATTCATATTGCAAAAAAATCCTGAAAATATGTAATTTTTTGATCTCTAAAACCGTACCCCTCCTTAATCTTTCTTACGAAAAATATACTTACCAACACTTAAAATTTTGGAAGTCTATAATTAGAATTTCTATTGTTTTTATACTTATTAAGTGTATCAAGTTTAACACGGAGACTGAAACACAATGTAATTTTGTGGCTTTATATTTTTTTTTCTTTGTCTTTTTTTAAGTATTATGCATTTATTCTCAGAGCTCCAACATTTACGTGCGAAACGATCAATGATGGTAAAAATACTTATTCTATTGGTATGTCTACAACTACCATCTACTTAATATACTGAAAGGACTACCACAGTAGCAAAATCATTTCTTACTATAATTAGTGTCACAGTTTACGCTAGACAACAAAGCGCCTGGTGGAGACAAATAGCATAATACCTTAGTACATTGTCTGCTTTATATTAGTCAGGCGCTGTCGCCCAAAAACGATTCTTGATATTTTTCAATTCCAAGTTGCAAGTTCTGGTTTGCATAATTTGATTAAGCAAACATATTGCTAGTTATACTAATCTCTGCTAGACTCGATTGCCATGTTGAGTTAATTTATTTCATTGAAATCTTGAACTCACTCTTTCTCAAACCGATTTGTTTTAGGCAATCGTTCTGGAGAATTTAAATTAAATATTAAACGCATGTTCAGTTAAAGATAAATTATTCAGTTGTATACAATTATAGGTTCAAAATGATAATAATTCTGGACTATGTTTAGTTTCATTATCTTTTTTTTCACTGAAAAATCGAGCTTATTCACAATGAAATTACGGACGCTCTAAAATGTTCTGAATGACTATGAGAATGAAATAAATGAAATGAGTTTGCTTTTTTGTTTTTTCTCGACTGTCAAACTTGAACTTGTAACTGCAAAAAATAACAGTTTTAATATATTTCAACAAAAAATAAGTTTTTTTAATATTCAATATAGGTAGTTATGTTTTAAATTCTTTCCAAGACTTTTTTTAAATATTTTTGTTTTAAAGTTAAATTGTTTACACTTAGGGGACCTTATCAGATTTGTGTAACCAAGAAGCCCCTACTAACTAATTTTCGACCGCTGTCGTTTGCGCCTCTGTTATAATATTAACTTAAATTAAAATGAGCTTTATGACTCCCCAAAGCCTAACTTTGGACGAGATATTCATACATTTTTTAATAACACAGCCTTGCAAAGAGACTGTTTTCAGCATGAATTTGCACTCAATTTTTAATTCATTAATTAATACTTATTCTTTGTGAAATTGACTGCTTATATCGTTAGGCCATAAACTACAAAACAAATTTTACATAATATATGCAAAAAAGATCATGAAACCAATCTGAAACCCACATAAATGTTCTATCATCTATATTATATGTATAGATGATAGTAACATTTAATGTTAAGTTGGTTTGTGTACGCTTCAAAAACTCAAAAAGTCCTACACCGATTGAGTTCAAATTTTGACACGATATACAACATATGTCACAGATGTTTTCATCTACTTTTTTGCAAGCCACAATGTGCCACAGCGA